AGCCCCGGGAAGGCAGAGTCGCCCACTATGGACACAAGAAGGAAGCCAGACAAGAGAATCCTGGGCAGAAAAGCACCATCAGTTTTAACGCTGCTGCTCTGGCCCTGGGAACTAACAACCTGGACGCCCACTCAAGAGATCTAATCTGAAAGTTGGTAAATTCAAAGACCACAGGAGGATAAACTTACAATGACGGGAAGAAACCAGCGTAAAAAAGCTGAGAATACTCAAAGTCAGAACGCCTCTCCCTCTAAAGATGATCACAGTTCCACATCAACAATGGAACAAGGCTTGATGGAGAAACGAGCGCATCCCAATGCTAGAATATAGCTTCAGGGAATGGATAATAACAAACTTCGGTGAGTTAAAAGAACATGTTGTAGCCCAACGTAAATAAACCAGGAGCTTTGAAAAACAGTTTGATGAAATCCTATTGAGAATAGACAACTTAGAGAGGAGTATGAGTGAAATAACAGAACTGAAGAATACAATACAGGAACTCCGAGAAGTTTGCACAGGTTTAAACACTCGAATTGTTCAAGCAGAAGAAGGGATATCAGAGGTCAAAGTCCAACTTAATGAAATAAAATGCGAGGAAAAGATTAGAGAAAAAAGGATAAAAAGGAATGAGCAAAGTCTCCAAGAAATGTGGGACTAGGTGAAAAGACCAAATCTACGTTTGATAGGTGTACCTGAATGCAACGGAGAGAATGAATCCAAGATGGAAAATACCCTTCAGGAAATTATTCAGGAAAATTTTCCTAAACTAGCAAAGCAGGTCAATATTCAACCCCAGGTAATACAGAGAACACCACAAAGATATTCCTCAAGAAGAGCAACCCCAAGGCACATAATCGTTAGATTCACCAGGGTTGAAACGAAGGAGAAAATACTAAGGGCAGCCAGAGAGAAAGGTCAGGTTACCCACAAAGGCAAGCCAATCAGACTTACAGCAGATCTCTCAGCAGAAACTCTACAAGCCAGAAGAGAGTGGGGGCCAATATTCAACATCCTCAAAGAACAGAACCTTCAGCCCAGAATTTCATATCCAGCCAAACTAAGCTTCACAACTGAAGGAAAAATAAAATCTTTTATGAACAAGCAAGAACTCAGAGATTTTATTACCACCAGGCCTGCTTTACAAGAGCTTCTGAAAGAAGCATTACACACAGAAAGAAACAACCAGTATCAGCCCTTCTAAAAATATGCCAAAAAGTAAAGAGCACCAACATAAAGAAGAATTTACACCAACGAATGGATAAAACAGCCAGTTAACATCAAATGGCAGTAACCCTAAATTTAAATCAACTAAATCCCCCAATCAAAAGACACAGCCAAAACCCAATGGCATGTTACATCCAGACCTGTTTCACAGGCAAGGATACACAAAGACTCAAAACAAAGGGATGGAGAAAGATTTACCAACCAAATGGAGAGCAAAAATAAATAAATAAATAAAAAGCAGGAGTTGCAATTCTCGTATCAGATAAAATAGATTTTAAAGCAACAAAGATATAGTGGTAAAAGGATCAATGCAACAACAAGAGCTAACAATCCTAACACCCAGATACATAGAGACTTAGACACAATGAGACAGAAAATTAATAAGGATATCAAGGACTCTAACTCAGATCCGGAACAAGTAAACTTAATAAATATTTATAGAGCTCTCCACTTCAAATACACAAAATAAACATTCTAGTCAATACCACATCACACGTACTCGTAGGTTTAAATGAAACATTGATTGGCCATTATTAATACCCATATTTTTTAAGAATAAAGCAATATTTCCACTCACTCTCCCTCTTTCTCTTCCTCTTTCTTCCTCTCCTTTACTCATTTTTTTCTTCTTTCCTTCACTCAAAAACAAAGAAATCAACTTGTAAACCTCTAGATCCAGGTCGGCAATGTCTCTCTCATTGCTTGAATTCCTTCCTTCCCTTCTCTCCCTCCCTCCTCCCTTCCCCCTTCCTCCCTTCCTTCATCCCTCCCTTCCTCAAAAAAAAAAAAAAAATACAAAAATTAGCCAGGGGTGGTGGTGTGCACTTGTAGTCCCAGCTACTGGGGAGGCTGAGACATAAGAATTGCTTGAACCTGGGAGGCAGAGGTTGCAGTGAGCCAATATTGTGCCACTGCACTCCAGCCTGGGTGACAGAGGGAGACTCCATTTCAAAGAAAATTTAGAAAATAAAGCTAAACAAAAAAACCCCCCAAACCAAAATCATTATCCTGAGTTTCTAACAAAATGGTTCTCTTGGAGATTTTTTCCTTTTTCCTTCCTTCCTTCCTTTCTTTTTCTTTTCTCTTTCTCTCTCTCCCTCTTTCCCTCTCCCCTTATTTCTTTTTCTTTCCTTCCCTCCCTCCCTTCCTTCCTTTTTTCTCTCACTCTCTCCTTTTCTCTCTCTCTCCTCTCTTTCTCCCTCCCTTCCTTCTTTCCTTTTCTTTTCTTTCCTTTTCTTAATAGAGCTGTGTTGCCCTTTTCCTTTCTTTCCTTTCCTTAATAGAGCTGTGTTGCCCAGGCCAGATACAAACTCCTGGGCTCAAGTCATCTTCCCACCTCAACCTCCCAGGCAGCTGAGACTACTACAGGCATGAGCCACAGTCCCCGGCTTGGTTCTTTCACTCATTGTGCTACCCTTTTCTCTGTGAAGAACTTAAGACTACAGGGGTTGCACCTGGAGACAAACTGAGGAACAATTCTCTTCAGCCCACCTTCTCCCAAACTCTGATGGCACTCAGTCACTTGCTCCATGGATGGTGAAGTGTTTTCGAGAGGATGACCTGACCTGGCCTAGCTCTTCCTCAACGGCACATGTAGGCTTCTTGCAGTCTGCCCCTGGGCTCTTTACAGAGGCCCCTGGCAGGTCTGAATTCCTCTTAAACTCAATCTGGGAGCATCACTTAATGTGTAACAGTGAAAAAGTGGTAAATCCAAATGTCCAACAGTAAGAGATTCGTGATATATCTTATGGTGCATACATACAATGGAGTAACAGGCAGCCATTGCTATTTGAATACTGAACTAAATAGGAGAAAATGTTCATAATAAACAGTTTGATTTTTTTTTTTTTTTTGGCCAGGTTCTGGCTGTGTTGCCCAGGCTTTAGTACAGTGGCCCGATCAGGGTTCATTGCAACCTTGAGCTCCTGGGCTCAGGTGATCCTCCTACCTCAGCTTTCTGAGTAGCTGGAACCACAGACATGTGCCACCATGCCTGGCCAATTTTTTTGTAGAGATGAGATTTTGCTCTGTTGCCCAGCAAACAATCCATCCACCCCAGCCTCCAAAAGTACTGGGATTACAGGCATGCACCACTGTGCCCAGCCCATAACATATTGTTAAAGCAGGATTTTTTGTTTTTTGTTTTGAGACAAAATCTTGCTCTGTTGCCCAGGCTGGAGTACAGTGGTGCGATCTCAGGTCATCACAAACTCCACCTCCTCAGTTCAAGTGATTCTCCCAACTCAGCCTCCTCTCTTGAGTAGCAGGGATTACAGGTGTGTGCACCATGCCTGGCTAATCTTTGTATTTTTAGTAGAGACAAGGTTTCACTCGTGATTCACCCGCTTTGGCCTCTCAAAGTGCTGGAACTACAGGCGTGAGCCACTGTACCTGGCCTTTTTTTTTTTTTTTTTTTGACAGAGTCTTGTGGGCCAAGATGACCAGGGGCAGACCTATGTTACTTCTAGTTAAATGATTACAAGCTTGCTTTGCTTTTTATACACTAAGATTTGTGCCATGGATCAAATATTGAGTTAAGAAAACTCCAAACAATGGTGCAGTAAAATAAAAATTGTTTAAGGCCTGTAAACACAGAAATCAAGCAGTAACCAGGAAGCGTATAGTAAAGGCCATCTGAGAGCACTTTAAAACCCCGGAACACAGCATGGTGGTTGCAGCGCAGGAAAGACTGCTTTGATCCATGATCTCTTCCCAACATAGGGTCTGCATGAGGGTCTTGTAAAGAGGGCTTGTGCAAGAACTCTGGGAAGGAATGCAACCTCTGCTCACAAGACTTGGGAGGGTCTTTGCAGATGAGAGCTTTCGAGGCAGGAAAGCCTTGTAGGGCAGAGATCTTCTGCCTCAGGCTCCAGAGTAGCTGGGACTACAGGCATGTGCCACCATACCCAGCTAATTTTGTATTTTTAGTAGAGACGGGGTTTCACCATATTGGCCAGGCTGGTCTCGAACTCCTGACCTCGTGGTCCACCTGCCTCAGCCTTCCAAAGTTCTGGGATTATAGGCGTGAGCCACCATGCCAGGCCAAAGCAGGTTTTAAATAGGCACTGTGTAATCCCATTTGAAATGTGTATACACATACACTATATATATACATATGAGTAGGGCCGGATGCTGTGGCTCACACCTGTAATCCCTGCACTTTGGAAGGCCAAGGTGGGTGGATCACCTGAGGTCAGGAGTTCGAGACCAGCCTGGCCAACATGGTGAAACCCCACCTGTACTAAAAATACCAAAAATTAGCCGGGTGTAGTGGCAGGTACTTGTAATCCCAGCTACTCAGAAGGCTGAGGCAGGAGAATCACTTGAAACTGGGAGGTGGAGGTTGCAGTGAGCAGAGATTGCACCACTGCACCTCAGCCTGGGCAACAAGAGCAAAACTCCATCTCAAAAAAATAAATAAATAAAAAAGAGTAGCCCAACATGTTAATAAGGATTACCTCCAATTGGTGGGACTGCAAGTAATTGTTTATTTTCTTTTTGATGCTTTTATGTTTTTCAAGATTTTCTGCAATGAGCATGTGTTATTTACTTTTAGAAAAAGCATATATTATTGTTATAATTAGAAAAAAGACTAAAGTCATTGAAAAATCTATGCTTCCCAAGATCTAGCTGTCCTAGCCCCGACTCTCAGGGATAGATTCTGAACCACTGTGGAAGGCCTTCGGTTAGGGCTTCTGCAGAGGTGGGGTTTTGAGGAGACAGAGGGTCTGGGGCAGAGATCTGAGTTGGGGTGTCCAGGAATTTACAATCCTCACCTTGGCCTGTGCCACTTCTTTGCTGTTGAGCACGAAGAGGACATCCTGCGTATGAAGCAGGGACAAGGGCAGATCCAGAAGGGAGATGTACTTGCGCAGCATATTCACAGACTGAAGCGTGAGCACAGAGCACCCTGGTTGGGGAGGAGACAGAGAGAAGTGCCTTAGGCCTCCAGCCAGACTTTACCGAGTGCCCTCCCTCTACCCTGTGGCTCAGGCCAGGGCAAGACAGTGGCCACGGTGTTGTCAGGTGTTTCTGTGGCACCAAAGCTGCTCTTTGCCTGTCATTCTTGCAACTAGAAGAGTAAAAGGGCCACAGAAGACCTGGCTGGCTACCCTCTACCCCTGCCATGTGCCCTACCAAAAAAGGTTGGTTGCTAGAGGTTGAGATTTGGCTACCTCAAAGCCAAAGGAAAGGTGAAAGTGAAAGGAATTACTGTATTGGGAGGCTAGAGATCTGGTTCCAGCTCTATCAGTGAAGAATGGACAGACTTGGCAAAGTCCCTTAACCACTCTGAATCTGTTTTCTAATCTGTAAAATGGTGTTGACAGTGTGAGACCTGCCTGTCTCACAGGATTGATATAAGAATCAAACAAACTATAGTCATATTCCAAAGACTTCATGGCTTGCTAAGCTCCCTTCAGTCATCCGACACAGAAAGGGCCTGAACTATTTACGTTTTCATTCACTGAATCTTCGTATTGCTCCTGTGACGTATGACAGACTGGAAACTGGCCCAAAGAGGGTAGGCATGGGGGTCATGCAGTAAATGGTCAGGTGGGTTAGGAAGAGTTCCTAACTCAGGCAGATTGGTCCATCAAGCATAGCAGTCATTTACGACCTGGCTAATTGTTTGGGGAACGAGATTGACTTCAGGCTGGAAGAATACCAGAGGTGTGAAAAAGCTAGACAGGTACGGGGCAAACCTGGCCTCCCACTCATCCAGAGGTGGCCCTGCAGGCAGGCACTTGCTGGTAGATACAACCTGCCAAGTACCCTGCGCTGAGTCAGGAAGGGTGTGATGGCCTTCTCCACCCCTGCCTCTGCTCGGCCTAGGACAGATCTCTGTGGATTTGCAAATTTCCTTCCCATAAGTTTCTCAGAGGGACAGTATATTGCGGCCTTTTGCAAAAGAGACAAGCCTTACCTTTAGGTAACTTTCCTTCTAAGTACAGGGCCCTGGAGGAGGGAAAGGACAAGAGTGAGAGGAGCAAGAATCATTTCCTTTGTAGGTAACAGGAAGGACCTTCAGAGGAAAGCCTGCCATACCCATGGTCCCCTCCATGTGAGTTTCAGGTGGATTCTTTTGCACGAATCACTGTATAGATTTCCAGGATCCCGTACCTCTGGCAACAGGTGAAGGAACCAGGATGGGCACTTTAGCCAAGGACAGCCAATCCAGAGGCTGGTCTGTGGCTTGTGAAGTACTATGGTCCAAGCTTTGCCCATTAGAGAATGGAGGTAACTGCTGCACTCGTCATAGTTTTTCTTTTGAAATTGTAATGTGAGTATGGTGGGGAATATTTTACAATGTTGACTGATATCCCTTCCCTAATACTTCCTTTCTGCTTTCTGACCTCCCCATACCTACCTTCTGACAGTGAAGGGCATTCCATGCTCACCGTCTTAAGAGCAGGGGATTATTAACTGCAGTGAGCACCAGATCTTTTCCCCACTTCGTTGTTTAGAAAGCTGGGGCAGAGAAGGATTGGGAAGGTAGCACACAGACACACATACTCACATGAACAAGGACTCTTGGGAGCAGGGGTTAAAGAAGAGAAGTTGAGAGGGAATTGACAAACTCATGGAACTGACTGCCTGGCAGAGCCTGAGAGGTACAAAAACCTGAAAAAGCCTTCTGGGATTCTGAGAATGAGGTGGCTTGTCCTGTACTCTGGGCAAAGCCCTGTGGATATTCTGATATCCAGGGAAAGCAGTGAGCACTGGAGGCACCTGTCTGAAAATAGAGCATACAGCCCTTCAGGCCACAGAGGAAGCTGTGCTGAGGAGGGCTGGGGAGCAAGTCCTGCGGACAGGGGGACCAAGGGGCCACTGGTGGGAGGGAAGCCAGGAAGAGACTGAGAAGTAGCCAGAAAGGCTAAAGTAGGGAGGCCAAGCTGGTGCCACATAAGCCAAAGCAGCATTGCCGTGAGGGACAGGCAGGGCCAAATGCCACAGAAAGGTCAAGATGGCTGAGGACTAAGGTGAGTCTAATGAATTTAGCAGACAGGAGATGACTGTGGAGAAAAAGGTCTTAATAGATTGGTGTCATGTCCATGAATTGTTTTATTTGAAGCACAGTGGCCCACCTTTGTGCTGAGAGCCTGTGGCATGCCAGTCTCTCCTGAGGAAAATGGCCCCAGGCAGTTCTATCTATACAGAGTTGTTCCCTTGGGTTCTGTGCCCAGAATGACACCTTCTCTGCTTTCCCCACTTTAGTGGTGACTGGACCAGGAATGGGACCGGGTACTCATCAACCTCAAGTGCCCCAGCACGCTGCCTGTTGAGGTGTTCTTAGTTTCTTTGCAACAGACCTGACCTGATCTGCTTTCTGGTGCAGTGTAAATTCTTGGTGAGAAATCACCAGGCTCAGCGTGCATCCAGAATGAGGTGGGACCATTTTCCGGTTCTCCGTGGGGCTTGCTGTCCATGCTAGTCTTGGAAGCTCAAGGCCTCAGAGTAACCATGTGGTTGCAAAGACCACTCTGGGGCTGTGTCATTTTTCCATATATTGTCAAAAGACATTTTTATTTCAGACCGTAACCAGGAGATGTTTCTTTCCTGAATCTGAAGGGACCTAATGCAACTAGCAACATGTCTCCTCTAAAGCTGTGGCTGCAGGCTGGACCAGGAACTGAATAGTCTTTACAGGGAGAGCAGTCTAGTCTCCCTTCATTCCACAGTCAAGGAAACAGGAAAGCAGCCTAGAAAGAGGATGTGGGTAAAATTCTAGCATCTCCCACCAAGTGATGTAAAATGTACAGACAAGGAGGCTCTTCAGTTTGGATTGGTCTTCACATGCATCTGACAGAATAATGAATGGAGAACCAGGATTCCTGAATTTTACCTCTGCCATAGTTTCACCTTGTAGTGCTGGGCAAACCACTTCACAGCCTCAATAAAATGAGGTGGCTGGACTTAACGGTTGGAGAGGTCATTTCCAACTTTACGTATTGCATTGCCTCAGTCTGAGTGTTGAGCATGTTTAGAAGGTTATCAAATAAGTCCTTCCCTTCAAGTTGTTCCAAACCTTCCTCAGGAGCTGGGACAGATCTGCCACATCACTAATCAGGGGCTCGGGAGAAGCACTTTGCTAGGGGACAGGAAACACGTCTATGTTTGTGTGACTCTACATCATTCAAAACCTTTGAGTTTGCATTTTATTTTTAATTATTTTGTATTTTATTTATTTATTTATTTTTAGATGGAGTTTTGCTGTTGTTACCCAGAGTGGAGTGCAATGGCACAATCTCGGCTCACTGCAACCTCCGCCTTCTGGGTTCAAGCAATTCTCCTGCCTCAGCCTCCCGAGTAGCTGGGACTACAGGTGCGCACCACAATGCCCAGCTAATTTTTGTATTTTTAGTAGAGACGGGGTTTCACCATGTTGACCAGGATGGTCTCGATCTCTTGATCTTGTGATCCACCCGCCTCGGCCTCCCAAAGTGCTGGGATTATAGGCGTGAGCCACCGCGCCCGGCCTTATATTTTTTATTTTATTATTATTATTTTTTGAGATGGAATTTTGCTCTTGTTGCCCAGGCTGGAGTGCAATGGTGCAATCTCGGCTCACTGCAACCTCCGTCTCCTGGGTTCAAGGGATTCTCCTGCCTCAGCCTCCCGGGTAGCTGCGATTACATGCATTGCCCCCATGCCCAGCTAATTTTATATTTTTAGTAGAGACGGGGGTTTCTCCATGTTGGTCAGGCTGGTCTCAAACTCCTGACCTCAGAAGATCCACCCACCTCGGCCTCCCAAAGTGCTGGGATTATAGGCGTGAGCCACTGCACCCAGCCTAATTTTGAATTTTTAGCAGAGATGGGGCTTCTCCAGGTTGGTCAGGCTGGTCTTGAACTCCTGACCTCAGGTAATCGTCCCGACTTGGCTTCCCAAAGTGCTGGGATTACAGGCGTGAGCCACTGTGGCTGGCCACATTTTATTTTTATTGGTAAAATGTAAATAAATATCAGTAGAATAGGGTGACTGTGAAGAACAAACGCATTTCATATTATATATGTATATCCTCCTTCTCCAAAGGAAGATCGGAGAATTGTATAAAATACATGAAGGAAGTGAGAGTAAGGGAAGAAGAAGATGGTGAAGCCGGAGGCACACTGAGTCATAGCACTCATTCCTTAAAGTCTTGTCCATGTGCCACAGGGGTTGCAAGTTTGACCCTCAAGCTTCCTGTGGCCACAGAAAAGAGACGAATAAAGTCAGCTACCCCATTTGCAGTATTCAGTGTGTAAAAAACAATTCAGCTATTTAGGAGATGAGCATTTGCATTAGGATTTGAGAGAGATTTCTGAGAGAGAGGACGTGGTAAGATGCAGTCAGCAACATGGCCAAAAAGGGCTTGATGATAAGCCAGCAGTAAGTTTCCTGGGCTAGATAAAAAGTAGGAAAGTGCTTTAGACTTTAAACCATGAGCCGTAATCAAATGAACAAACCCTCCCCCACCTCCATCACCCAGAAAATCATACCTCACAGCCGCATACAGAGCAATGTGATTGCTGTGGCCACTTACTCCCCCTGCATCGAAAGTCACCACCTGTAGAGAAACATAGTGTTTTCACTTATGACTGTCTGAATGCCTTCTCGACCATCTCAACTTCAATGGAGCTCAACTTCAATGCCTTTTCAACCGTCTCAACTTCCCAAAGGAAGGAGAGGACAGAACCCTGAATCTGTTCAAACGCAGCCTGTATCTGAAGTGACATCTGAGCAGATCAGTGGTGTGCAGTTAGTGCTGTGGTTGACCAGGTAGAGACTGTTTCTCTGGGTTTGACACTTTACTCTTGTTCCTAGCCAGTGGAGCAGAGTGGAATTCAGCCATGATAGCAACTTGGGTTCAGAATATCTTTGTTGCTTATCGGTTTAGCCATTGATTAGCACATTTAGCATTTCTGGCGAGCTTCTAAGTGAACTCTGTTCATGCAGATGCAGTCTGATTTATTGGTTCTCTTTTTGTCATGCCATACTGAGGGCAAAAAAAGCTTTAAGTGACAATGTCCACCTTGTCCTGGAATTGAGTTCATGGAAAAAGTGTATTTATTCATAGATACTCCTCTGTTTCCATTTTCACAGATATATCAACATCTATTTATTAACTACAAGCTCAGTCTGTATTCTAACATTTCATTTCTACACAAATAAAGAAAAAACGAATAATTTGAATAATAATAAAAAGGCCAACTGAATAATGAAAGAAACATTAAAAAGACAACAAGGACTCAAGAGAAGGATAGAATGGTTGATTAGGGGTGATGGAAAGAGGCAAGCTGTCTCCAAGGAAAGGTGACCGGGCGAGGTGGCTCACGACTGTAATCCCAGAACTTTGGGAGGGGCCGAGGTGGGTGGATCATGAGATCAGGAGATTGAAACAATCTTGGCTAACATGGTGAAACCCCGTCTCTACTAAAAAAAAAAATACAAAACATTAGCTGGGGCATGGTGGTGTGTGCCTGTAGTCCCAGCTACTCCGGAGGCTCAGGCAGGAGAATCGCTTGAACCCAGGAGGCAGAGGTTTCAGTGAGCCGAGATTGCACCACTGCACTCCAGCCTGGGTGACAGAGTAAGACTCTGTCTCAAAAAAAAAAAAAAAAGAAAGGTGACCATACTGCATGGATGAAGGAACCTGGAACTGGGATTGGAAGGGATTCACTCTTGGTCTTTCTATTTTAAACTGTAAAGTATAGTGACTTCATGTACAGCAAGCCCTCTGTTATAATAAGAGCAGCTAACATTTCTTGAGCACAGGGATAGTACTAACTCTATCTTACACCTAAGGAAGTTCAGGAAGCAGAGGCTGAAGATGGTGGAGCTGTTCTTGGAGTCTGTATCTTTCTGACTTCACAGTCCATGCTCTTTACCAGCATCCCCTATGTGAGAAGGCATGCTAGGCTGCAGGAGGAAGCACTATGTAAGAATCAGAAGACTTTTGGGAGGACGAGGTGGGCAGACACTTGAGGTCAGGAGTTTGAGTCCAGCCTGGCCAACATGGTGAAACCTGGTCTCTACTAAAAATACAAAAATGAGCTGGGTGTGGTGGCATGCGCCTATAATCTGAGCTCCTCAGGAGGCTGAGACAGGATAATTGCTTGAGCCTGGGAGGCAGAGGTTGTAGCGAGCCAAGATCATGCCACTGCACTACAGCCTGGGCGATGAGTGAAACTCCATTTAAAAAAAAAAAAAAGATTCAGAAGACCTGCACTCTTATTCTGACAGCTGCCAACCAACTACAAGAGTTTAGATTAGTTATTCTTTCTCCTGGGGTCTGGAAGAGCTCATTTGTGAGGAAATAGGGTATTCTAGGCAGGCAAACACTCTGGTTAGAGGGTTATCTTGAGAGTCATTAATGGATACCTTATTTGAAAGATAAGTACATAGTGAACTTCACTGTTTATGGCACAGAATACACACACGTGCACACACACACACTTTTGCATAATTCAGAAGGCAGGCTGGGCACGGTGGCTCACACCTGTAATCCCAACACTTTGGGAGACTGAGGCAAGTGGATCATAAGGGCAAGAGGTCGAGACCATCCTGACCAATATGGTGAAACCCTGTCTCTACTAAAAATACAAAAATTAGCTGGGCATGGTGGCACATCGCTGCAATCCCAGCTACTCGGGAGGCTGAGGCAGGAAAATCGCTTGAACCTGGGAGGCGGAGGTTGCAGTGAGCCGAGATTGCACTACTGTGCTCCAGCCTAGTGACAGAGTGAGACTCCATCTCAAAAGTAATAATAATAAGGCCGGGCACAGTGGCTCATGCCTGTAATCCCAGCACTTTGGGAGGCCGAGGCGGGTGGATCACAAGGTCAAGAGATAGAGACCATCCTGGTCAACATGGTGAAACCTTGTCTCTACTAAAAAAAATACAAAAATTAGCTGGGCATGGGGGTGCACGCCTGTAATCCCAGCTACTCAGGAGGCTGAGACGGGAGAATTGCTTGAACCCAGGAGGCAGAGGTTGCAGTGAGCCGAGATCGTGCCATTGCACTCCAGCCTGGGTAACAAGAGCAAAACTCCGTCTCAAAAAAAATAAATAAATAAAAATAAAAATAATAATTCAGGCCGGGTGCAGTGGCTCATGCCTATGATCCCAGCACTTTGGGAGGCTGAGGCGTGTGGATCACGAGGTCAAGAGTTCAAGACCAGCCTGGGCAACATGATAAAACCCCGTCTCTACTAAAAATACAAAAATTAGCCAGGCATGGTAGCATGCACCTGTAATCCCAGCTACTCAGGAGGCTGAGGCAGGAGAATCGCTTGAACCCAGGAGGCAGAGGTTGCAGTGAGCAGAGATAGCACCATTGCGCTCCAGCTTGGGCGATGGAGTGAGACTCTGTATCAAAAAAAAAAAAAATTCAGAGGCAGGGCGTGGTGGCTCACGCCTGTAATCCAAGCACTTTGGAGGCCAAGGTGGCGGATCACCAGAGTTTGGGAGTTCAAGACCAGCCTGACCAACATGGTGAAACCCCACCTGAAAAAAAAAATTCAGAAGACATTTCAGGATCTTATAACTTTAGAGTTAAAACCATGAGCCTCAATTTATTACCATGTTGACAAAGTCAACAGAAGTGGTGGGTAATGGAAGAATTTTAACGACAGAATTCCATAATTCAACTAAAGTATTCTAATGACTAATGCTTATATTTCTCTATCTCTTTCTCTCTCTTTTTTTTTTTTTTTTTTTGCTCTGTCACCCAAGCTAAGCAACAAGAGTGACTCCAGTCTAGGCAACAAGAGCGAGACCCCCATCTTGCTACAAGAACGAAAAAACTGTATAGCAGTAAATGCTAGTGTATCTCAACTCCAAGTCTGTTGCCATCGGATGAAGCTGGCTAGCACTCTTGCTGGATGAATATTAGAGGGTGCTGGAGGGCAGTCCCTTGGCTAGGGAATTTGGGGTCACATGAAGTTCAGCTTAATCACTTTTGAAATTCTCCAGTCTGTTTTTTCTCTCATCCTACAACTCACAGTTTTATATTTGTAGCACGATGGGGGTCTCATCCTCCCCTTTCTGTTGCAAGCAGGGCTAAGCTGAACTGTATTTAGTTCTCTGAACTTTGCAGATTTGTACGTTACAGTGGCACCTGTCATTCGTTACAAAACTCTATCCACTTTTACTTTTTCCTAACTTGGAAATATATTTGTTCAAATAAAATCTTAGCCAGACCCCAGTAAATAAAAGGTAACCATGGAGCTGCTCTGGTTTCTAAGATACTGGTTCTTACCTAGAGATAATTTTGCCCCAGGGTTATTTGGTAACTTCTAGAGTTTTTTTTTTCTCTCTCTTTTGTTTCTTTTTGAGACAGGGTCTCATTCTGTCGCCTAGGCTGGAGTGCAGTGATGCCATCACGCTCACTGCACAAGTGATTCCCAGGCTCAAGTTGATTCTCCCACCTCAGACTCCTGAGTAGCTGGAAATATAAGTACATGCTACCACACCTAGCTAATTTAAAAATTTGTTTGTAGAGGTAGGGTCTCACCGTGTTGCCCAGGCTGGTCTCAAGCAATCCACCTACTGCCTGAGCCTCCCAAAGTGTTGAAATTACAGTTGTGAGCCACTGTGTGCGGCCTGGAGATGGTTTTATTGTGACAATTGAGGCAGGGGATTGCTACTGACATCTAGTGGGTAGACGCCAGAGATGACACTAAACATCCTTCCATGCACAAGGCCAACCCTACACCAAATTATCCAGTCCCAAATGTGCAATAGTGCCCCACTGACACATCCTGCTCTACAGGAGCAAGGACTAAGTGCTTCTGGCTCACTCTTGTATTCCCAGTTCACCACCTATAGCGAATGTCACATATTGGGTACTCAATAAATATTGATTGAATGAAAATTGAGGTAGGGGGATTGAGGCCCAGGACCTAGCCTGCTTGACACCCAGAGAAGGCACTACTACCCACCTGGCCTGCTTTCCAAGGATGGCAGCTTTGCATTTTTCTTTTTAAAATTTATTTTATAGCCGGGCATGGTGGCTCACTGTAATCCCAGCACTTTTGGAGGCTGAGGTGGGTGGATCACCTGAGGTCAGAAGTTCGAGACCAGCCTGACCAATATGGTGAAAACCCATCTTTAAAAAAATAATAATAATAAATAAAATAAAATAAATTTTATTTTATTTTATTTTTTAAAAATAGATATGGGCTGGGGGTGTGTGTGTGAAAAACTATTTAAAAACATAAAATAAGGCCGGGTGTGGTGGCTCACACCTATAATCCCAGCACTTTGGGAGGCTGAGGCGGGTGGATCACGAGGTCAAGAGATCTCGAGACCATCGTGGTCAACAAGGTGAAACCCCGTCTCTACTAAAAATACAAAAATTAGCTGGGCATGGTGGTGCATGCCGGTAGTCCCAGCTACTCAGGAGGCTGAGGCAGGAGAATTGCTTGAACCTAGGAGGAAGAGGTTGCCGTGAGCCGAGATCGCGCCATTGCACTCCAGCCTGGATAACAAGAGCGAAACTCCGTCTCAAAAAAAAAAAACCATAAAATAAAATAAAATTTGAAAAATAGAGATGGAAGCTGGGTGCAGTGGCTCATGCCTGTAATCCCAGCACTTTGGGAGGCCGAGGTGGGCAGATCACCTGAGGTCAAGACCTGCCTGGCCAATATGGTGAAACCCCATCTCTACTAAAAATACAAAAAGTAGCTGGGCATGGTGGCAGGTGCCTATAATTCCAGCTACTCGGGAGGCTGAGGCAGGAGAATCTTTTGAACCTGGGAGGTGGAGGCTGCAGTGAGCCAAGATTGTGCCACTGCACTCCAGCCTAGGTAACAGAGCCAGACTCCATCTCAAAAAAAAAAAATACAGATGGAGTCTTGCTATATTTCCCAGGCTGGTCATAAACTTCTGGCCTCAAGTGATCCTCCCACCTCAACCTCCCAAAGTGCTAGGATTATAGGCATGAGCCACTGCACCCAGCTAGCTTGTACTTTTCAAAACCCTGTCTTGTCTCCCATTCCTTGTGGTTTTCATGATGTTGCCGCAGTACCACAGAGCTCAGACCAGACAGAACCCAGTTTCCTGCACTGATAGCTACAGAGCCAGCTTTGCTTTGGATGATGATGGAGAGCTTATGTTCTCATCCCGGTGTAGCCCAGGTGAGAAACTCTCCCCGTGTCTTAGTCTGTGCTCCTCACCTCCATCTGTACTTCTGTGTTGCTGCTTCACCATCTCTCGTGTGCAGTTGAAACTTCCGGGCTGAATGGAAACCCATACTTAGCTTGAATGATGGCCAGTTATGGCTACACTGGCCATGGTGTTAGCATGATTCTGTACTTCTACTGTGGCACTAAATGCAGGCCAGAGAAATCATTCCCACTGTACTGTAAACTTGAGTTTCCTTATCAATAGCAAGTGTGTCCTAAGAAATTTGGTAGTAGGCAGAGAGCAGTGGCTCACGCCTGTAATCCCAGCACTTTGGGAGGCCGAGGCAGGTGGATCACAAGGTCAGGAGATCAAGACCATCCTGGCCAACATGGTGAAACCCCATCGCTACTAAAAATACAAAAATTAGCCAGGCATGTTGGAGCATGCATCCAGAGTCCCAGCTACTTAGGAGGCCAAGCCAAAGAATCATTTAAACCTCTTTGGCAGCTTTAAAATTGACTACAGGCTAAACGGTTCTGCTGATCCTAGAAGAACTGAGACTGGTGTTGCTAGGCTTGTCCACCTTTGCAGTAAATACGTATCTCGGCTATTACTCCAATTGTATCTAAAATTTTCTTCCTTAGTGGGTATGAATGCCTTCTCATGTTTTCTTGGAATGAGGAAATCAAGGCTTAAAATCCTAGTTTTACCACCACTTGCTTACCGTGGACACGCTGTTTGGTCTCTGCAAAACCTCAATTTCTGCAATGTAAACTCAGAATTTTATTTATTTATTGAGAGAGAAAGTCTTGCTCTGTTGCCAGGCTAGAGTGCATCTTCACTCACTGCAAACTCTGCCTCCCGAGTTCAAGCAATTCTTGAGCCTCAGCACCGCACCTCCCCATCCCAAGTAGCTGGGATACAGTCACACACCACCACGCCTGGCTAATTTTTGTATTTTTAATAGAGATGGGGTTTCACCCATGCTGGCCAGGCTGGTCTGGAACTCCTGACTTCAGGTGATCCGCTCATCTCAGCCTCCCAGGGTGCTGGGATTACAAGCATGAGCCACCACACCCAGCCACAAATTTTACTTTTTTTTTGAGATGGAGTTTCACTCTTGTACTCCATGTAGGTCAGGCTGGTCTCGAACTCCCGAGCTCAGTTGATCCACCTGCCTCGGCCTCCCAAAGTGCTGGGATTACAGATGTGAGCCACCGCGCCTGGCTTACTTTCAAAGTTAAAATGATATTCTGTGAAAATCCTTGGTAAAGGTGAGGTGAAGTTCTGTATAAATGAGAATCACTGGAGAGGCTCTGGGGGACCTGAGTTTTTAGGTGGCAGGACAAAGGTGGGGGCTTGAGTGCATTCAGGAGGACACAGCTTAGAAAAATCTCCCTCCTCTATCTGAGCACTGCTAATTTAGTTATTCAGTCTCACAAAATATTGAAAAGATATCAAAAGGCGTGTTTGTTCCTCAGTAGGTTAACAGTGAGCACTGGAAGTTCTGGCCTCCTTGGAGAGCAGCCCTGGAGAAGGACTGGAAGTGGGAGGGTAGCCACAGGAAAAATTAAGGAAACTACCTGGTATGAATGGGACCAAGACCTCAGGCTTTCCATTCAGGAAGGTGTCCCCTTACCAGATTGATGCCATTCACTTCTATATGGTGGAGGAGGACGCTGGCCACATGCTCTGTGTTCCACTGCACACCTGGGTCATCTGGAAAATCCCTACAAGAAAGAAGCATAACTTGAACACCTTTTCTGATCAAGTACAACCTTCTCCCTAAGCTCCAGTAAGTGCATGTCCAGTTTTATGATACTTATATTGGGGGAAACGGGTCCCTGCATTTAAGCTTCCTCAGATTTCAGTTAAGGTAAGATTTACAAACATGAAACAACTAGAAGTTAATGCATAATTCCACGAGACACTTTTGGAGCTTTATGCTTGCTGCTGAGGGGAAGAAACAACATCAACGAGACAAGGCTTTGTCCACAAGTTGGGGAGACAAATGTGTTAAAAATGAACTTGAGGCCAGGTGCAATGACTCACGCCTGTAATCCCAGCACACTGGGAGGCAGAGGTGGATCGATCACAAGGTCAGGAGATCGAGACCATCCTGGCCAATATGGTGAAACGTGTCTCTACTAAAATACCAAAAAACTAGCCAGGCGTGGTGATGCGTGCCTGTAGTCCCAGCTACTTGGGAGGCTGAGGCAGGGGAATTGCTTGAACCTGGGAGGTAGAGGCTGCACTGAGCCGAGATAGTGCCACTGCACTCCAGCCCAGTGACCCAGCAAGATTCTGTCTCAAAAAAAAAAAAAAAAAAAAAGAACTTGAGCACAAGGCATGATGATATGCACTTTATAAGAGTAATAGTGGCTGGGCATGGTGGCTCATGCCTGTAATCCCAGCACTTTGGGAGGCCAAGGTGGGTGGATTACTTGAGGCCAGGAGTTCAACACCAGCTTGGCTAACATGGTGAAACCCCATCTCTTAAAAAAAAAAGAAAGAGCAATAGTAATATTACTTTAATAAAAAAGTACAAAGGTATGTTACTTCACTAACCTCATAAACATCTTTTGACAGAGCTTTTTTTTTTCTTTTCTCGAGACAGAGTCTCACTCTGTTACCCAGGCTGGAGTGCAATAGCACAATCTCGGCTAACTGCAACTTCTGCCTCCTGGGTTCAAGCAATTGTCTTGCCTCAGCCTCCAGCCTCCTGAGTAGCTGGGATTACAGGTGTTAGCCACTGCCCCCTTTTTTTCTTTTTTTTTTTGAGATGGAGTCTCACTCTGTCACCCAGGCTGGAGTGCAGTGGTGCAATCTTGGCTCACTACAACCTCCACCTTTTGGGTTCAAGTGATTCTTCTGTCTCAGCCTCCTGAGTAGCTGGGATTACAGGCACCTGCCATCATGCCCACCTAATTTTTTGTATTTTTAGTAGAGACGGGTTTTGCCATGTTGGCCATGCTGGTCTCAAACTCCTAACCTCAGGTGATCCACCCGCCTCGGCCTCCTAAAGTGCTGGGATTACTGCTCTGTCACCTAGGCTAGAGTGCAGTGGAGTGATCTTGGCTCATTGTAACCTCTGCCTCCCAGGTTCAAGCAATTCTCCCGCCTCAGCTTCCTGAGTAGCTGGGATTACAGACATGCACCACCATGCCCAGCTAATTTTTGTATATATATTTTTTCTCCTGAGACAGAGTCTCACTCTGTGCCCTAGGCTGGAATGCAGTGGTGAGATCTCAGCTCACTGCAACCTCTGCCTCCTGGGTTCGAACGATTCTCCTGCTCAGCATCCTGAGTAGCTAGGATTATAGGCATGTATCACTACACCTGGCTAATTTTTGTATTTTTGGTAGAGGCAGGGTTTCACCATGTTGGCCAGGCTGGTCTTGAACTCCTGACCTCAGGTGATCCACCTGCCTCAGCCTTCCAAAATGCTGGGATTACAGACGCTATCCACTGTGCCTGGCCTTTGACAGAACCTTTACCTATGAAGTTAAGTAGCTTGTTTGCAAGGCTGTTATAGTTAGATTTGAATGCAGGTTTTGCCTACAAAGCCAAAATGCTTGAGCACTAGGGAGCTGGCTACATTCCCCTTTCATCAGAACTGAGGCTTGCTGCATGTCAGGTACAGAGTCTTCAACAGAATAATCTGCAATTTATCTGTGTCTCCACCTGGCCACACCACAGGCCTATCTCCCACCCCCACCTGCTGAAATCCTTCCTATCTCTTTTTTGTACTTTGATCCATGGTGTCACCTAATATAAGACCAAGGGCTCGGGCCGGGCGCGGTGGCTCACGCCTGTAATCCCAGCACTTTGGGAGGCCGAGGCGGGTGGATCGCGAGGTGAAGAGGTCGAGACCATCCTGGTCAACATGGTAAAACCCCGTCTCTACTAAAAATACAAAAAAATTAGCTGGGCATGGTGGCGCGTGCCTGTAATCCCTACTACTCAGGACGCTGAGGCAGGAGAATTGCCTGAACCCAGGAGTTGGAGGTTGCGGTGAGCCAAGATCGCGCCATTGCACTCCAGCCTGGGTAACAAGAGCGAAACTCTGTCTCAAAAAAAAAAAAAAAAGACCAAGGGCTCACTTTGGCCATCTTATTAAAAAACATTATTCATAGTCTTATAAAATGATACCTATCTCTCTTTGGGTTAGGTCCTACAGCAACACCCATAATGCTACTGAGAGGACATGGGCTCTGCTCCCTACCAGGCAGGCTGTTATCACCTCCCTATGGACAAAGGTCATTAACTGGCCTCCCTTAGGACTTTGGACAAAGGAGAGTCACTGGAGGTTTTTCAGCAGAAAAATGACATGAGCCTCAGCAATAAATAACGTCATTATTTCCTTTGCTTCAGTTGGTTCATCTACCAACCCTTTAGGGCGGTGGTCCCCAACATTTTCGGCACAGGGACCAGTTTCATGGAGGATAGTTTTTCCACAGACAGTGGTGGGGGGCATTAGATCTCACAGATCTGCAACCTAGATCCCTCCCATGCAGAGTTCACAATAGGGTTTGTACTCCTATGAGAATCTAATTCCACCACTGATCTGAGAGGCATAGCTTGGGCAGTAATGCTTGCTTGCCCGCCACTCACCTCCTGCTGTGCTGCCTGGCTCCTAACAGGCCAGGGACCCATACTGGTCTGCAGCCCAGGGGTTGGGGACCTCTGCCTTAGGGTGTTTTCTGCAGAGGGCAGCTTCTTTATGTGTGTGTGTGTGTGTGTGTGTAACGGAGTTTCACTCTTGTTGCCCAGGATGCGCAATCTTGGCTCACCACAACCTCCACCTCCCGGGTTCAAGTGATTCTCCTGCCTAAGCCTTCCAAGTAGCTGGGATTACAGGCATGCGACACCATACCCAGTTAATTTTTTTTTTTTTTTTTTTTTTTTGGAGACAGAGTTTCGCTCTTGTTGCCCAGGCTGGAGTGCAATGGCGCGATCTTGGCTCACCGCAACCTCCGCCTCCTGGGTTCAGGCAATTCTCCTGCCTCAGCTTCCCGAGTAGCTGGGATTACAGGCACACGCCACCATGCCCAGCTAATTTTTTGTATTTTTAGTGGAGACGGGGTTTCACCTTGTTGATCAGGATGATCTCCATCTCTTGACGTCGTGATCCACCCGCCTCGGCCTCCCAAAGTGCTGGGGTTACAGGCGTGAGCCACAGCGCCCGGCCTAATTTTGTATTTTTAATAGAGATGGGGTTTCTCCATGTTGGTCAGGCTGGTCTCAAACTCCTGACCTCAGGTGATCCACCCACTTCAGCCTTCCAAAGTGTTGGGATTACTGGCATTAGCCGCCATGCCCAGCCTAGAGGGCAACTTTGTACTTTTCAAAGCCCTATCCTGTGGGTCACTCCATGTGTTTCTCATTGTGTTCCTGCAGGAAGCAGGACAGACAGCTTAGCAGGTGGGGGACAGGATTGGGAGAAAGAGATAAAGTGGGACCAGGACAAAGTCTAGTTTTGTTTTTTGGAAATGGAGCTGGATATAGTGTATAAAACATAACCAGCTGAGCTCAAGCAGCTGAAGGAGAAATAGATACAGGGAACAGAGAAAATGCCTTGGAGTGACAACAGCTACATCCATACTCCTGGCTGAGAGGTCCACATAAATGTATCAAGGCATCATTTTGGAGAGGGAATACACCACACCAATAATATATGGAACTTAAGCACATGAGAGACAGGATAGGAGGATAGTTGGCTAAGCCTACTAAATCTCTGTAGTTCTGAGGTTCTGATGGGCTAAAAGATAAACCTCAAAGAGGGGTAAACTCATGGCTGCCTTCCATTTATCTTCAGGGAACTAGGATCTGCTCTTTCGAGGATCGATGCTCGTATGAACAGGTGTTGCTCCATGCCTTTCTTTCGGTGGTCCCACCCAGTGATTGTGGGTGAGGCCAATCATCTAGGGAGGGATTTTGGACTGTAAATATTTGCTCTGCAATGCGACACATCTGATAAAGCATCATTGCTTTTATGATCAAGTCCAAACTCCTCTTGGTCAGGCATTCAATTTTTCCCCAATCTACCTCCTATTTTGATTCACTTCCTTTATTTGAGAGAGCTAATGAGATAACACAGGTCAGAAAGCATTTAAGAACTGTAAAAACAAAAATGCCTAAGCATCAGAATCATGGCTGTTACTGCTACATTAGCCTAATTTAAGTCTCCCTTTAAAAAAAGAAAGAAAGAGGCCGGGCGTGGTGGCTCAAGCCTGTAATCCCAGCACTTTGGGAGGCCGAGGCGAGTGGATCACAAGGTCAAGAGATCGAGACCATCCTGGTCAACATGGCAAAACCCCATCTCTACTAAAAATACAAAAATTAGCTGGGCACGGTGGCGCGTGCCTGTAATCCCAGCTACTCAGGAGGCTGAGGCAGGAGAATTGCTTGAACCCAGGAGGCGGAGGTTGTGGTGAGCTGAGATCGTGCCATTGCACTCCAGCTTGGGTAACAAGAGTGAAACTCCGTCTCAAAAAATAAATAAGAAAGAAAGAAAGAAAAAGAAAGAGGCCAGGCGCGGTGGCTCACGCCTATAATCCCAGCACTTTGGGAGGCCGAGGCGGGTGGATCACGAGGACAAGAGATCGAGACCATCCTGGTCAACATGGTGAAACCCCGTCTCTACTAAAAATACAAAAATTAGCTGGGCATGGTGGCACGTGCCTGTAGTCCCAGCTACTCGGGAGGCCGAGGCAGGAGAATTGCTTGA